AGACAGATAGCAGAGAGACAGCAGACAGACAGATAGCAGAGAGACAGTAGACAGACAGATAGCAGAGAGACAGCAGAGAGAGAGACAGCAGAGAGACAGCAGAGAGAGAGAGAGAAAATAGACAGACAGCACTCAGAGAGACAGCAGAGACAGCAGTTAGAGAGATAGCAGAAAGACAGCAGATAGAGAGCTGAGCCAGGAACTTGAATTGTGACTAGAGAGTTAAGGCATCCAGTGCCACGATGGAGGCTGTGGTTCTGTGATCTTATAACCACTGAACACGAAATGATGAATTCCCACCATTTATGGGTTCTAAAAACTGAATATTAACTTTAACAAGAGAGTAATTAAACTAAAGGCAGCTAGGTAGGACAGTGGGTAGAGCACTGGCCCTGGAGTCAGGAAGACTCATCTTTCTGAATTCAAATCCAGCCTCAAACACTTACTAGCTGTGTGACCCCAGGCAAGTCACTTAACCCTTCTTGCCTCAATTTCCTCATCTGTAAAATGAGCTGGAGAAGGAAATGGCAAACCACTCCATACCTTTCCCAAGAAAACCCCAAATGGGGTCACAGAGTCAGACATGACTGAAATGACATAACAGCAATCATAGTAGTTAAGATTTATATAGCACTCTAAGGTTTGCAAAGTGCTTTGTGTATATTATCTTATGTGATGCTCTAAGCCTCAGTGCTTGTAGGGGTAGCAGTATAGAAGGGAATAGGATTGGGAAGGGGCGAGAACAAGCATTTATTGAGCATCTACAATGTTCCAGTCACTGTGATCAGTACTTTATAAGTATTATCTCATTTGACACAAGTCACATTTATGATATTCCCAGGGGAAATTCTGTTGGGGACATGAGTTAAAGATTATTAGTGCTGAGAAGCCCCCCAAAGATTGAGCTCAATCTATGAGCTCAGAACCAAAATTCTGAGCCAGAGGTTACCCAGTTAACGAACTTACTCGTTCTCTTATTCATCCGCTCACTGGCTTCATAATTTCCACTCTTGGTACTAACGGTGACACTGTATAGACGCCCGGGAACAAGATTTCCAAAGATACATTCATTTTCAGTCTTGGGGATGATCTTGGTTTGGACGGAATTATTCTTGTTGGTGATGACAACCACATAATGATCGAAGTCTCCAGTGGCATGCAGCCAGGATACTTTCAAATGGTCACTCATGGCTGAGTTGCTAATAGTAAGTCCCTGGACTTTTGAGGGCACTGAAACAGAGTGAGAGTCGTTAGGAGTTTAGGGATTCTGAAGAGAAACAGATTATAGATAAGGGTCTAGATTTGTCCTGCTGTCCATTTCCATCCCAAGTTTTTCAGTTTATAAAATGAAGAAGCTAGGAGAGGTGACCTCTATTAGGTAGCTTTCAGCCCTTAATTTCCTATTAGTTATGAATTTAAACTACTAGAAGATATGGATTATCACTGTGACTCTTTGATACTGGCGAAGCAACATTCAAATGAAATTAGCGAAGATCATAGATTTAGAGATGGAAACTTATTGTGTAATATCCTCATTGGACAGGTAAGAAAATAAGCCGAGAGAGGTTAAGTGACTTAACCAAGGTGGCAGAGGGGCAGCAGAGAGAGAGCTGAGCTAGGAACCAGCAGGGATTGTGAATAGAGAGTTAGGGCACCTGGGGCCATGATGGTGGCTGTGGGACTGCAGAGCTGCTTCGAGTAGAGTAAGTAGGCGCTAGTGGGAAACCGGGCGCAGCGAGGAAATGCTGCTTTCCCCCTAAGACACTGAAGTCTATTCACTAAGTCCTGAATTTTGAGGTAGTAGGAAATGATACCTGAATCTTAAGGTGGGGTAGTAGTAAGGGCTGAGCCAGGATATGAACCCAGACTCTCTGACTCTTTCTAATGCACCAGATCAGTTTAATTGTTTGTTTGACCAGACTGTTTCGATAGCCCCCATAGGATACCTATCACAACACCATGCATGTGAATGAGTATTAAAAATCTTAATTGGTAATTATTATCAATGAAAATGATGGTGATGGAAATGCTAGGATCTCAATGGATCTAAATCTGGTAACTGGTAACTCATGGTTACTAGGCTCTACTGTTTTGCAATAGGGCATCTGCCTAGCTGAGACATGTTGTTACAATATTAAAGCTATTATAATTTTATGTTTAGAGCTATAAAAAAGATTCAGCCATAGACTATTATACAATTAATATTTTTTAAAAATATGTTCATTACAAATGGCTAAAATGAGGTAAGCGTACCAAGTAGTATTTTGCTGCCCAAAGCTCTAATCCATGTGAGAGCATTTAATCATTTTCCATCTCCCTTACTGTGTGTTGAGCCTTTAGGACAGGGATAAGCACCCTTTCCTCTGAACATTTGGGTACAAATCATATCCACTCTTTTAGATTGTAAACTCCTCCAGGGAAAGGACTGCATCATCGTGTCCCACCCTGCCCTCCACCTCATATGTTTTCTTCTCCCGTCAGAATGTAAGCTCCTTGGGGGCAGGGACTGTTTTGTTTTTGTTTTGTTTTGCTTGTATTTCCATCCTCTGCATTTATTGCAGTGCTGGGCACATAGTAAGCACTTAGAAAATGTTTGTCAACTGCCCTCCTTGCTTCTGTGTCCCCAGCATCTAAGATAATATCTGACCATACAGCACTGTGGGGTGGAAAAAAGTGATAAATTTGAAGTCAGGAGACCTTGAAGTATGAGCCATGCCAATGAAAAGGTTGACAGCTTGTGGGCTCCTTTTGATGAAGGATATCTTAGAAAAAAAAACAAAACTTGAGCTCTATACAGTAGATCTTCTTTGAACACCTGTAGCAACGATACTATCCAACTAGCACTTAACACATTATGTTAGGTATTCAATCAATCAATAGCATTTATTAAGCACCTACAATCTGCCAGGCACTGTGCCAGGTGCTGGAGATACAAAGACAAAAGCAAAACAGTCCTTGCCCTCAAGAAACTAATGCTGTAATGGAGAAGACAATATGAACATTTATATGTAAATAAAAATAATTACAATTTAACTTTAATTTATTATTATTTGTTTTGTTTATTTTTATTTTAATTTATCTTTTATATATTATAAACTCAGTACCACATCTTTGTAAACTCAGTGCATATTGCACATCGTAGGTACTCAATAAAGATTATCAACGAGTTCTAAGGCTCTTAATCATGTGGCGAAAGCAAGATATTTGTTTTGTGAAGGATTGACCTACATTTCAGGAAGAAAGATTTTATGCAAAGTTGATGCCAACTTAGGAAGATCATTTATGCAATGTACTAATTACAGATGATTAAAGCAAAGCCACATTGCCAAGGAGAATGAGCCCAGATTTGGCATACTAAGCTCTCAGCTAAGTGCAGCCATATCATCATCAGTCTGAATCTCCTTCTCTATCTATATTTGGTATATGCTGAGAGAAGGGACTTGGGGGCAGGGGACAAATATCTCTTTTTCAGAATGTATGTGTACAAACCATTTATCACTTTCTTAAATAGCAAACTTCTTGAGGTCAGAGACTGTTGTTTTGCATCTCTGTATCCTAGAGGGTTAGCGTATTGTACAAAATGATGCTTAATTTTCTTTTCTCATTGTGTTGGAGACCACACATAGTGTCACAAATTTAGAACTGGAAGAGACCTTAGATGTCATTTAGCTGAACCTCTTTTTTTACAGATCAGGAAACTGAGGCAATCATTCGGCTCTTCAGTTCTCCAAATCCAGTTCTCTTTTCAATGAACCATGAGTTCTAAGATGTTGCTCTTGTTGCCAGACTACAAAATATTTTTGTCACAATTTCATCTTGACATTTGTGTGACTTGACTTCTACGTATTAGTTGTATGACCCTGAGGAAATGACTTAACTGATTTGTGCTCTAGGCAACTCTAAAACTATGAGCTTCCAAGAAAGTGGCTACCCACATTGACAATTTCCTAATTTGGGAGTTCCATATGACTTCCCAACACTGCAATAAAATAACTTATCCAGTCCCCATCCCCATCCCCATCCCCATGCCCTTGCCCATCCCCATCCCTATCCCCATCTCCGTTCCTATCCCCATCCCCATCCCCATTTCCATTCCTATCCCCACCTCCATCCTCAC